TCTAATCATTTTTGTTGCCCTCTGCTAGACTCATCCCAGTTTGTCCACATCTTTCTTGGAATGCAGAGCCCAAAACTGAACAGGTGAGTACTGCAGGTGAGGCTTCCTCAGTACTGAACAGTGGAAGAATCACTTCCCTTTCTGCAGTACTGAACCAGCTGTTCCCCGATTTGTGTTTGTACATTTAATAGTTCTATCCTAAATGCAGGTATTTGTCATTGTCCTTATTGAATTTCATCTGATTAATTTTGGACCATTTTTCCAGCTTATAAATAATTCTGAATCCTGACCCTATTCTGCAGAACAGGGGTGGCCAACCTTTTTGGCAGGTGTGCCATGCCACAAGCTCCCCCTCCCTGCATATGCCACTCTGATCCTGTCGTCCCAGAGGCACACTAATAGAATTTGCATCCTGGGGTGCCATAATTAAGGCAGAAGGGCTCATGTGTTTGGCACTGTAACAACTGCAGTTTTACATGGTGAGAGAGCACTTAATTTGGTAGCAGCTGCAAGGTCAGAGAAGTCTTAACCTGGCTCCTGGCACTGCCATTTCTTGCAGAAGCATCCTACCACTGCTCCGCTCTGTGTGGCTGGAGATTTGAGCCCTACTGCCTCCATTCCAAAGCCCCCACATTGAGTGCCCAAAGCTTGCATGCTACGCACAGTGGCTGCCTGCAGCGCACATACTGCAGGCTGGTCACAGTGATGCTCTGCGCTGCTCGAGCTGAAAATTAAAGAGAATAATAAAGTAAAAGCACTTCTTGTAAACATTTGAAAGAGGCCTGGAAAACCACTGCAGTGCACTGATTGTGCATGGAGTCTTTGCACGGCAGCCTCAGCACCTGAGGGCTCCCCGTCCATTATCAGCAGTGATCGCTTTATTACTTTATGGCCACAGCAGTAACAGGTGTTTTTACCTTGTGACAGCCCCATTTGAGGCACCTTGTGAGGCTGTGTCTGAAGGTACTTTCAGTGATAGGTTTTCCACATGCCCAGTGACAGCTTCAGGGCCTATGCCTCTCATGGAACAGAACAAGCAGGCCCTGTCCTCCTGACAGGATGCTGCCTTCAGTACCAAATCCATTGTATCAGCTGGTGCCTACATGCCCAAGGATGGAGCAGCACTCCAGCATCTGCAAGGCCTTGTGACATGACATTTTTAGAGCCCATGATACTGACAGGGGGACTTGCAGCCATGGGCAACTGCCTGTGAGTACCTTGTTCCCCCCACTTAGTGGGCAGTATCTTCATCACAAAATGTTTTATTGTGACTCCCAGTTGCACCCTTGGAGCCCAGCTACGCAGCATCCTCAGGGTGCTGGAGATTCCATGGGGCAGTGGGACAAGGTGACCCTGAGGGCTGGCTCTCAAGAGGATTCTGATGTCACAATGGCATGCAGTGGGGCTAACTCACTGTGGAAGCAGTGACACTAGAATCCTGGGTCCACATGTAACTGGGGACACCCTGGATAGAGGGCATAGTGTGGGGTGGCACTGGGGAGCAAGGGGCTGCATGAGGGGCATTGTACTGGGCTGTTACTCCCTCAGCCAGGCCCAGGAGCCAGCCTTCCCCCCTTTCCTACTTCAAACTAAATAGAAAAGCAAAACATCAACAGAACCTCACCCATCCCTCTTGCCTCTTTTATGCAGGGCAAGGGCTCCACCGCAGTGCTTCAGTGCCACTTTTCTTCTCAGCTTCCCTCCCTCCCCACTATCATGTCTGGGAGCTTTTAACTTACTCTAGAGCCAGCCAATCATCCCCACCAGCTGGCCCCTTGCAGCCCTTGAGCCATGCACCTTGTTACAGGCGTCCTGCTGTGTTTCTGGGGTCACTCAGCATGGTGGGCTTGGCAAGTGGCAGTGACAGGGGTGGTCTCACTCTGGTCTCCCTGGACTTGGAGCTTGCTGGTCCTGGTCTAGGACTGCTTGGTTGGGCTGGGCCTAGGCAGAGGCATAATGAACAAGTTTTGAACTCTGCCCAAAACACCCCTGTGCCATGAGGTGTGTGGAGGGCTGCCAAATGCTGGAAATTGAGGAGAGGGAAGGGGTGTGGTCAGTCTTACCTGTCTAGGGGAAGCAAAGACCTGACCTGCTGCTCCTGCACCTGGCTCCTTTTTCTGGGCAGTGCTGGGATGATCTGCCCCCATCTCCCCCCACAACAAGCAGCACCAAGCTGTTCCATTCCCCACTACCTCCTCTCCATCCTTTCTGCAGGGAGGTACATGGCTGTTCCACTCTCCCTGCACTCTCTGTTCCAGAGGCATGGGGCTGTTTCACTTTCCACCCCACATCTCTCTGGTCACCTCACTTGCTCAGTGGTACAGGGCAGTTCCTGGCTAGCTCAGCTAGGCCAAGTTCACTATGGAGTGGCCAAACAGGTGAGTGGGGTGCAGTGGGTGGGATGGGCTCTACCACCCTGGCTCCTGCTGGCCTCCCAGTGCGGGCAGCACAGCCCCAGAGAGCCACAAAACATCCCTCCAACCCCAGACACTACCCTGCCCTGCCCTCCCCTTCTCCCTTGTAGCCTTGCCCACACTTGGATGTGCATGCCACTTGTGGCATGTATGCTGTGGGTTGACCACCCCTGCTCCAAAGTGTCCATGTCTCTACCCAGCTTGGTGTTATCTGCAAATTTGCTAACTGTGCACTCAATTCCATCCTCCAAATCAGGGCTGTTCCACTTCAGAGTGGCTAGGGGCTGCACAGTGCACCAGCTACAGGCCCTCAGCTGCCCACTTCATAGGCTTCACGTGCAAGGCGGCTGCACAGGCTCCCTGGAACCCTAGCAATGTACAGCTCCCCCCTCCCTGCCCACACTAGCAACACAAATCCCACACAAGGCTAGAAGCCCTTTCCACTATTACCACAGCACGGGTAAACTGCTACCGTTGCACAGGTGATCCCCATCCTCCTGCCACGCAAGCAGTGTGAACACTCACTCTCAGACCCCTCCCTCTGGTGCTGCTGCTGCACAGGCAGCGAGCTCACCAGGCCTCTAACCATGCTGCCCTACCCCAGAGACTCCAGCCACCACTGCAGCACTAGGCCTAACAGGGGGAGTGGTGACCAAGTGGGAGTCTGTGGGCTGCACATTAACCCCTCACAGGCCAGATGCAGTCTATGGGCTGTCAGCAGGACAGCCCTGCTCCAAATCATTAATGAAGATATTGAACAATACTGGACCCCAACCTGAACCAGCCTCCTGGAGATCTCCATTCAATACCTCCTCTCAGTTAGACATCAACCAATGGTGATCCAACTGGGTTGGCAGTATACCAACAGGCCAGCAATTCTTAGCCAGTGTGCCACAGCACCCTAGAGTGCTGCAAGACCCTTTTAAAGGGTGCTGTACAATTAGCACTGTTAGGTGTGCAAACACCTACACATGATTCGCAAGATAAACCCAGAGATTTCAAATAGTGTCATACATTCTGACTCTGTGGTTTTTCTGAGTTGTCTGCAACAGAAATACCCTAGTCTTTTTCCATAGCCAAAAAAGAAGTTAAAAAGCTCAGAGCTGGAATTTTATGAGAGCTGTCTTCAGTCTAAAAGGGTTGAGAACCTCTGAATTAGGTGGTATGCAGTTGCTTCATTCCTTACAACTTCTTTGGGCATTTGCTTTCTAAGACTACAGAGCAAATTAAATTTAGAATACTATATTCTGAGTGACATTAAAATATGCATATGCAAAGTAGTTTCTTTTGAGAATCAACCACTTTGTAACTGGAATAAAACAAATACATTATTGATAAGTAGCAGCAACATTAAATACAGGTCAGTGGAAGACTATAATATGGCATACTGATACATTTCAAAGGCAGAAGGGCCAAGTTAAGGTTTCATCTTAAAAGTTACTAAAGTTTGGTATTTCAACTTTTACAAAGTTCATGATCATCAGAAGTATAGATCCACAACCTTAATGTTTTATTTCTACAGGTTTTGTAAATTACATGTCTTTACAGGTATTTCTGAAAACTGGTAACAAAATGTAACTTCAAAGATTTCCATTGGCAAACTAACTTGGTCATTAAAGAATACACCTTTGACCTTTTACTCAAATAAAACTTCCAGTAATGTCAAGAGTAGGTTTTTTTTCTGAATGAAGAATGATAAAAAGTTATATAGTCAAAAACTACCTTAAAATAAAGACGTGAGAAGCCTGGGAGGTCCTGTCTCAATGGCCTGGCTATTAAAATATAAAGTGCAATTTTACTTATACACTTCTCTAAGCTAACATAGCTTTAGATAACATCCAGGTTGTACTAACTACCAATGTATCAGCACATCAGAGATAAGAATGTAAGACTGGAAGGAGCCTCCTGATCCATCAAGTCCAGTTGCCAGTGTATAGACAACTTTTGAAATTGTTTATGAAAAGGGCTATCATTTACACACAAAAGTGGAAATTGACGCATTTCTTTGAATGGTGGTGTGCAGCAGAGTTAGTGTTTGATATCCATACTGCGATTAAATATTTGAGCCTTATGAAAAATGACCAAAAGTGTTTAATGACCAAAAAAAGGAGGAGTCACAATTTGAGTTGTAAACTACAAACGAGCCAGCGATGTAGCTGTTCTGCTACACATGAAACACTGACCCAGAATCAGGTCATTACAAATGATTTAACACCAGGTTAAACATTCAGTGCATTAGGGTAAGAGGTGTCTTCCCTTCTGTCTATGCTCCCAGTCCCAAGATGAATGGCTCTCAACACTGAGACCTGCCCCTTGCTGGAGTGCACTGAGGTATTATTACGTTTAGTGGGGATTCTAATTTAGAGGCATTCAACAAATGTCTGAACCTGTGGTCCCTCTTGTGCTGAGCAGGATTACTATTGCAACAACATAACATCAGTAGGGTAAAACTAATCTCTCTCACAGCAGTCTAAAGAGCCAAATTCAGACCCAGTGTATGAAGATGCATCCCACTGAAATAAAGAAATTGCATTTAAATTAAAGTTGGCCCAAGATGTACACTTATCTATTTGAATATAGACTTACCTGGAGAGATGGCTCTGTGGAATTGATACATGTCCTCTCCTGTTAATTCTTGTGCTACTTGCTTAATCTTCTGTCGGACAGCATCTAATTTGACCTCAGATTCATTTAGTATTTCTTCTCTGTTAGGGGAACTGTGACCACAAAATACAAGTCAAATTATAATATGGAAACAGTTGGAACACCAGCAGAGTGAAATAGTTACACACTTCATTGTATGCTAGCCAACATGTATTTAATTAGTTCAGTTAAAAAAAAAGAAGCAAATATGTTGAATGGAACAAACTTTGAACTTTTCTTTTGAATCAGGATAAACTACCTCTGAAATCCAGAGCACATTCTAAACGTGTGATTCTCTCTTGCCCTCAAGATCATCAACAAGCTAAATTCAGTCTTATTTGCAGAGTACTCATTTCAGCCTGAAGCTTTTCTGACTAAAGTAGAAAAATTGAGGAAATCCATAAGATTCAAAATAAGTAGATAAAAAAAATTGTGTAAGTCTTCTCTACCTCAAAATCTACAGTGTTTTGCAACAAACTGAACAGCTCATTTATAAAAGGATTCACTATATAAATTATATTTTAGGCAGTACTTGTGAAATATGTCACTAAGGACACCTTTAAAAGAGCAGTTGCTAAATCAAGGAGTCACAATCCCTAAAGAAATTCAATTAAAGTGGTGGGTCTCAGACCAGGATTAGAGCTGTAAGCCCAGAAGTAGGGTCACCATGGCAAAAAATTGGAAATTGCTGCTCTGAAACATCTAATATATACCTATTGTTAGATGACATTTTATACCTGACACTAGATATACTGGTTTCTCTAATGTACTGCAGAGTCCCACCATTTACATGGCATTCATGGCTTACAACACGTTTTAAATTATTATTCTGTGAATAGCTTTGTTTTGTACAAATGTTTAAAAATCATGGGAATTCAGAAATGAGTCTTAACTATTCAGTGGAGAGCTCGAGAGAGAAACTTAGGCAGTTTGCAGATGCGGGGGGCGGGGGGATAACAGTGCTTTACTTTAAACTCTGAGCACCCCCGCGCCAGCCCAGCACATGTTCAGAAGAGGCAGGATGTTAGCTACACCTGGCTTTCCCAACATCCGTATAGATCGAGCATGTTAGTGGGGCTTTTTTGGCACTTTTATCTGATAGCAGATTGAATCAGCTCTAAAGTGGCAAAAACCTCACTAAAGTACCTGATCTATACAGACGCTGCAGAGTCAGGTCAAACTAACATGCTGCTGCTTCCAGTAAAGCATGGGGGGGGGTTCCCCCCACATGTTTGTCAGCACCCAAGATGTACAGAAAATCACCATCTCATAGGAAATGGGATTTTCTGATGAAAGTGAATCTAAAAGCTTACACAGACAAAGAGAAAGTTCTACAACAAAGCACCTATTTGTAAGCTGAGTCAATACACAAGTCCTTCCCAACATTTTTATGCCCTGCTCAGCAACAGTGGGACTGCTCAAAGCAGGTCTGGAAAATATCAAGAATAGAAGACAGTTGCTGCCAAACCCTTATTTACAATTGTGCACACACTGCTCATACCATTGTGTAGCGGCCCTGGGAGTAATATCAGTGGGAAATATTAGAGAAAAAGACTTTTACAGACAAGCCCGATGGTTGAAATGGCATCTATAATTCTCCAGGTAAACTCTGTATACAAGAAGCTGTAGCAAGCCTCAATTTTTCCCACTATTCTTCCACAGTAGCTGCTAATTTGAATGATCATTTGAAAGAATAAACACACAAACATTAAGGTACCCCACAAGGGAGAATAAAGACCCTTCTTAGGATCCAGCATATAAGTGGTTATAAGTAGAACTTGCATTCCGTGCCCTTCATACTAGTGACCCAGGGTGGGGCTATAAAAATGGGGAAACTCTTGCCTGAGACAAACTAACCTAAAGGGGAAGGGTGTATCCTCTCCCCTCCCAGTTCACTGGAAGCTGAAAAGACCTCTGTTGGCTCTTACCAAGGATTCTGTGTTAATCTGATCCTGTTTTGGACTATTCTTTATTCCAATAGAGGCAGGCACTAAGGAAATGGACTTGAAATGAACTAGCATCTAGCTCTTATTTAGTTCCTTGACTGCATTGTGTCCACCCCACTTATGTACAGTCCTAAAGGAAACAAAACAACACAACTTATGGGAAATGAACTAAGTTTGCATTCCTCTTCCTTGAAGGTGCTCTTATCAGAATATTACTCAAACAGAAAAAAACAAGGCAATAAATTTGGGGTCAGCATGGAAATGAGAACTAATGTAGTAACTCACCTAGTAATCCGGTGAAGTAGAAATATTGTCCTTTTACTTTCTATAGTTATATCACGACTAAGCTTCACAAGTCTTTCATATTTATCATGTCTTGTATCAAGCTCAAGTTGAAATGCTGAGAACAGAATGCAAACAATCACAATGTGGTCCTGATGTATGTGTGAATGTGTAATTCATTTCAACAGCATAAGTATTCTGTTACTATCCAGCCTGGGTAACAATGACTTTGCTGTTAACCTCCCATAATCTTCATATTTTGTGTTTAATTTTTTTTTTTTTTTTAAACATATGGAGGTCATGTCATTTCAAACCTTTACCAAATTATACAACAGTGAAAGTACAATAAAAGTTATTAAAGTTAAGACAAAGAGATATGCAGGGAGTACATTCATGTCTCCTTCAATGCATGTTTGACTGCCCTCTGCTGGATTGAATATATGCATATGGCTGCAGACTAGTATAGAGGATGTCAAGGCTATAATACCAAGGGAATTAAAAACAGCTTTAAAAAATACAGGTTTTTTATTTCAGATTTTATTTAAATGTGTCATTATTTACATCTTAATTTAAATATCTTATTAAAATACCTGTTTATAATTAAATTTGAAATCTTGGCAACTAAGATTAAAATCTCAGTGTGCTATAATCCAATAAAATCATGTACATACATTTTAATATTAATACACTGCATCATTGAACCTTCCTGTTTTAATATGTCAAAAGGTGTTGCAGCTCCAAAGAGAATCATGTAGAGACTTCAATTTCTGAGGTCAACTAAACTTTATAAATGTGCATTCAGTCCTACAGGTGTACCAATATATTGGTCCATATCGGATTGGCCCCGATAAAAGGAAAATTGACATTATTGGCAATTGGGGTTTTTTTGGCCAGTGTAACCAATAACGTCACCAATAAATGCTGAATGCATGAATGCAGCCGCAGCATGCGCGTGGCCAGGAACACAGCCCAGCAGCTTGGAGAGCAGTGCCCAGCTGGTAAGTGGGGGGAGGAGGCGGCAAACTGAGGCTCCCACAGTGAGGGAGGGAGTAGGGCTAGAGCTGGCACTGCCCAGGCATGGCAGACCCATGGGCAACTTGCCGCTGAGAGCACCCCTGGGGAAGGCACGGGGGGCATGTGCCCCCCAGATCTGTGCACAGGGTGAGGGCAGGTTGCGGGCTCAGGGCCAGGGGCTGAGCCAGCCTCTCCCCAGTCGGGGGGGGTGGGGTGGACAGCAGCAGTGCTAGAAGGGGGGCTATAGCAAATTTTGGGGGGACCCTGTAGCGCCTCCTCCTGGGGCTGCCACTGCCTGTCCCTAGCACAGCCCCTGCCCAACCCCCCGCCCTGCCAGGAAAAGGCCAGCATAGCCCCTGGCCCCATGCCCACAGCAAGCAGCCTGCCCTTACCCTGCACACATATCTGGGAGGCACATGCATCTCCTAGAGTGCATGCAGTGGCAGGGAGCTACCCCTCCCTGCACTCCCCAGATGAGTTGCCTATGGCTCCATCCTGCACCCCACCCAGGCAGCTCCTACCCCTGTCCCAGCCCCAAGCCCTCCCTCACTGCCGTGGCCTCAATCAGCACCCCCCATTCCGCCCCAAATTACCAGCCAGACGCTGCTCTCCAAGTTGCTGGGCTGCATATTGGCTATTGGTTCAGTATCAGCCAATATGGCTGGTTAATAATCAGCCATTGGTATCGCCAAAAAAATCTTTATTGGTGCACCCCTATTCAGTACCTATTTCTTCATTTTTTTTATGATGTAGCTACTGCTGCTTTTTTCCAAGTCTCAATATAAAACAAAAACAAAAGAAAAGCTTTTGCCTTACTGTAGTTACTTCTGGTTCCAATTTATCTAGCAGGCAGAAACAGAACATTTTATTTGCTCTATATCATCAAAAATTGAGGAACTGAACAGAATTGAAAAAGTTCTTCTCTTCCAATCTATTCACAAAAATGATGTGATCTACTAACTCTAAACATTTGAAAAGAAGCCAGCTTTTTAAACATGTGAAGGCAAGGAGCCAGATTTTTAAAGACACTTAGGCACCTAGACAGAGACAGATGCCTACCAGGATTTTCAAAAGTGTGTAAGCAGGTTAGGCACTTACCCTGACTTATTTCAGCTCCTACAGATTTCAGGGAGAGTTAGATATGTAATGTGATTACATGCTTTTGAAAAATCCCAGTAGGCTCCTATATGCATCTTTTAGCAATTACATACTTTTTAAAACAGACATAATGTGTTAATTCACTAAATATGCTTAATACAACCTTTGTTTAATTAGCCCATTTAATTTAAAGTCAAGTTTTGATAAACTTATTTTATGTAGGTAGAAGTTTATTAGTTTATTAATAAACTAATTTTAAAAGATGTTTTGCACATTGAATTCCAATTTCCATCACATTACAACCCAACAAAAAAAATGACAAGCAAAAAAAATCATCTAGTATACAAGTGGTGCATTATTCACAATATTCTTACCATAAAAGATATATAAATTTAGATTCTGAATGGATGTATTTTAAGTTTGCAACTCCTTTATATAAACATTAGTAAAAAGTACAATATTTCATATAAATGCTATATTTGCCTGTAAATCAATAAGTTTTCATGTTTATGCCAACCAACCAGAAGACATTTTCCTTTAAGGAAAAAACTGAAAACAACGAATACAAAATAAGATTAAATCATTTGGGGTCCTGGTTTTCTCTGTTTTAAAAATTGCACTCTTTGATTTTCTCTGATAAAAAAAAAAATTGCAAATTCTTGGATTAAACCAAAATCCGTGTTTTTTCTGTGATTAAAATGAAATGTCACTATGTATATAATTATGAGTAGATCACAACATTTTATTGATACATTTACAATTTTAAAGCAATCTGGAAGCCTACCAGTGCCTCAATTACTGTAATAAAATAAATTCTAAATGTCTATAAATTTTGGCATTTGATTTGGCAGTTTTATTATGAAAAAAATCAGAGCTCCCTGCCCCCTTTACTCACCAGGACATGGGTCCAGCTGCGGCTTCCCTCCCCAACCCCAACTGTTTTGTGGCACTGAGCAGCCCTGATATGCCATGCCACTGCCCCTCCCTCCCCACCCACAGCCCCCTGTCCCTCCAGCCCTGCCAGAGGGGGCCCCCAGCTGCCAGGGCTACGGGGCTAGGGACCTAGGTCTGCAGCCCCAGGACCCCCGCAGCAGCACCCGAGCCCCAGTTGTTGGCTGTGGGAGGCGGTGGCTGCTGCAGTGGAGCCCAGCTCACCCTTCCCCACAGGCGGAACGGCTGAAGTGGAGCCTGTTGTGAGGAACGGAGGGGGGGGCAGATGTGGGCTGGCGGCTGCGGGTTTGGGCCTTCCCACCCTGTTTTTCTCCTCCTGGGGGCCTTTGTGGCCCAGTGAGCAGGACCTGGTGCAGAAGCGCAGAGCTGGGCAGGGAGCCTCGCGCCACAATGGCAAGGTACCTCGTGCCCATCTAGAAGCAGCAGGGGGACACCCCAGCCCTGGGCATGAAGCCCCACACACCACCCTAGCTGGGCAGTGCCCCCAACCTTACCCATCTCCCTTCCTCCCTCACTATGAGGGCCTCAATCCCCCATGCACGTGGCACCCCCTAGCTGAACATTCTCCTCCTGTTCCCCCAGCCTCTTGCAGACTGGAATTCTGCCAGCCTGCATAGGGAAACCCACCATTCCCTGCATTTTTCTCCTTGAAAGGAGAAAATCCGCATTTTATTGTGTTTTTCTGTGCCAAATGGAAAATACGGATCATTGAAAATCACTTATTTAAGTTAAGGTTACTTGCTTGCTGATTTAAATCATACTTAAAATCCATGATTCAAAAACCACTTTGATTCAAATCAATACACTCCACATAATAGAAATGAACTAAGGAAACCTAAAAGGGGGAAGGAAGAAGAGAGAGAGGTATGAATACTGAGAATCAGATAAAAGAATAAGAATTTTTTTAACTTTTTTTCTTTCTGATATCACAATCCAAATATGGTGCATCTTTCATACATAATAGTTATTTCTCTATTTGTAATTCTCCCTTTGAACAGGTCTTATCTACATTTACCTGCCCCTGCTGCTAAAAGTTCATGTGGCAAGCAGCAGATGCCGCATGCTTCTGGTAGCTCCACATGTTTTCTTTCACTACAGCAGTTGTGGCACCAAAGCACGTAGTGAACTCTGGAAAGGGACCAACTACTAAACAAACCAAAGCTGAAAGCATGGAAGCACTTACCTGTGCCTTCAGCCAACTGCCAGGAAGAGATATTAAGAGGCTTGATGACAGAATAACTAGTGAAAAATCCATTTTAAAGTTAGATATATATTCATACCTGCCTCTGCTACCAAATTTCTGGCAGCTGGCAACAGCTACGACTGCCAAGCTACCAGAGTATGTGCACACTCAAGTGCTGGTGAAGTCACAGAACTTCCAGAACTCGGCAGCTCCATTATCTACAAGTACATTCAACCAGCTGCAATATGGCAACAGAAGCCTCTGGAGAGCTGATATAGCTGCTGGTAGTGGAGGGTTCTGCTGTTGCAGAGGGGCTTTGAGCATGAATGCACTCCAAGTTTTGCCAACAGAACCGAAGTTTGGCTGGCAAAACTTTGTAGTGTAGACTAAGCCCAGCAAAGTATACCAGGGGGATTGCTGCTACTTTTTTAAGTGGAGCAGACAGTGCCCCAGGTGTGGATGCGGATATGCCAACAAGAGCTCATCTGCCAAGAGAGTGATCTGACAGGCACTCTGTGCTCAAGTGTACATCTAACACCTCTCCCAACTCTACAGTTGGTTCAATAAAGGACAACACCAACAAATCCTTGCTTCTTACAAAGATCAGTGGGAAGAGCTTTGTGGCTCTTTTTTCTAAGCAAAGTGAACTTCCCACCACCACACCATTCTTAGAATCTGCTGGCTCACAAAGTAAGGCTTCTGTCCAGATTTAAATATATAGGTGTTTTACCAAATTTCAGTTTTGCCTTGATACCACTGTTTATCATACCACAACTAAATATTTTCTCCTACCAATTCTTATTGTATACATTTTTACGACCTGGGATTCAACATTTACTTACACTTAAAAGATATCATCAAAGCTGAAGATGAAGTAACATTCTCTTTATCCTCTCTCCTTTGACCATGGGGGAAATTGTCATGCTTTCGTTTCCTGAACCCCCCTGACCCTATAAATAGAAAATATACATAAGTAAAATTTATATATCATCATTACATTTTTTGTAACAGCTTGACCAAGATGACATAGCACTTGTTTCAGAAATTGCTTTGATTCTACCCATTGTTCAGTATTTTATAGCAGCAATTTTTCCACAGTAGGTAACCTCAATTTCATCCAGTTTACTGTAGAGTACTATAGAAAATATTAAAAACTGAAGTCCTATTTGGTTTGTATGGCATTATTAACTTTGTTATTATCCCACTGAAAAGAGAAGCACAACCCCTACAAATTTCAATGGATCCATGAGGGGGCACCTAAAGATGCTAAGGCTTTTTCCAGAGAAGTGGAAAGTTACTCTGGGTCCCTTCACAAAATTTCCCTTCTACAAACAGTTAGTTGAATTTGTTTAGTGCTATACGTTTATAAGGCCTAACCTTGCAAACTCTTAACCCCATTGAAGTCAATGTCACGCCTTGTGTGAACAAAAGACTACAGAATTGGACCCACAGTTTGAAGAGACCTTTCAAATAAAAATAACCCTATTACTGTAGTTACAAGCATCTCATTGGCATGCTCATAAGACTCTGGTCTTCAGAGGAGACCCAGCCAAAGAAGCAATGTAAGTAACTGTTACTGATTAATGGTATTCATTTTTATTTCTTATTATGCCCCCTCTCAGCTCCCCATGCTCTGACGAGCACATTTGTCCTCGTCTCCCCTTCCCACTCACTGGTGTAATGTTTTCCCTGTTATACTGTTCCCTAACACTGAACTTCCAGGTCTCTTGCTCTGCACAAAATGGTGTCACTTTTTCTCTTTAAAATCCTCTCTCAACCAATTTCTTACAACTTGTATTTTAACTTTGACATGCACTCCTGTGGTGTTTAATCCTCTTGCCTTCCCCTGCTTTCACTTATAAGCCTATGTAAACTCACATAATCTTCATTTGCATTTGTTCCTCCCTCACAATATCCCGTTCCCTTGTCAGACAGGAAGATGCGAAGCACAAAGCTATCCTAGGTACTAATGCTGCACCTACTCTAATAAGTTATACTGACATGGGGGGTGGAGACTCCAGCTAAAGTTTTCCTTTTAAAGGAAACAACTTTAGAGCTACAGAAGAAGGGTACACTTCCCACATTTTAATTTATCTGTTTAATATTATCCCAACTCACATATTGATTTTGTTTATTTTTACTGTCTATCCTTACGGTTCCCAAACCAAAAATGAAAGCAGGCCAAGTTACATTGAAAAAGGGCAAGCTAAGAGCCATGGATGACTGGTGCTGCCTTAGTCGGGGGGGGCATGTGCCCCCCTCTCCCCCAGCAACCAGTCAGCCACTGAGGGGGAGTACCCCCATGGCCAATCTCACTGATGGGGGGGTTGTCCCCCGCAGCCAATCGCAAGGTGGCCGATTGCTGCAGCCGCTTCTGAGAGCGCCACAGCACTCCCACTCCCTGGCTAGCGCTTGCAGGAGGGGCGGGGGCGGGCATCAGCACTCCTGCCTGTCCCCCCTGCCCATTGCCTAAGCGGCAAGCGCGGCCAGTCAGGGGGGCACTGGTGCTCTCAGGGTACTCATACACCCCCTACGCGTCGTCACTGCTAAAAGCCAGCACTTTGCCGTCTCTGTCTGGGCCTGAGCTCAAGGTGCCATTACACCTGCAACATCTGAACTTGGCCACAGGCACAACAACCCCTTCAACACAGGGCAGGAAAGGAGATGCTCTGCTCTGTAGGATGGACACCTTCATCTGCTCAGCCACGAGCCTGTGAGCAAGATCCAGTCCCCTCCATGCCATGCCATCCAGCCTGTGGGATGTGGGAAGCCCTAAATATGGAGTGCAGGGCCCATTTGTGGCACATAGGGGGGGTGGGCAGGGACTCCGATTCCAGTCAGGTGGGGGCAATGTGGTGGCCGGGGGCTCAACCCTGAAAGACGGAGGTGGCGTGGGCCCCGATCCATGCCATGGAGCGGCCCCGTGCCATTCACCTAGTTGGAAGTGAAATGGTGCCCTTCCCCTCCACTACCCCCACAAACAAGAGTTCATGACATGCTTCAGCGACAAGAGGGGCCTCTAAACACCAGGTAGAAGGCAGCCCAGGGCCAGAGCTCTGCCAGCCTGCAAGGGAAAAGCCGCAGTTTCCCATGTTCATCTCCTTTCATTTTTAAAGTTTGTTCACAACCCTTTCATATATTCTTGTGACTCACTTTGGGGTCACAACCCACAGATTGAGAAACACTGGTTTAGATGAAGGGTTGTACGGGATGGTTTGGATAGGGATAGTCCTGTCTCAGGCAGGTGGTTGGACTAGATGCCCTGTGGAGGTCCCTTTCAGCCAGAGTTGCCAGGTCTTAAATATGAAATCATCATACTGGAAGCTCAAAATGATGGTATCTGCTGAAAAAAATATCCTATGCTGAAAAAATATGTTAATTAGTCTTTTTCTTATTTATATTGCTCACTGTAAGTTGACAGTAAGCAAGTGAGAATGGGTCATCCAAGCTGAAGCCTTTATTGCAAGGCTAGCAATAAAAGAAGCCTGCTTTTCTCTGATTAAAAAAAAAAAATCCCCAATTTTCAGTTTTAAAAAAGTAACCCAAAATCCACATTTCCCCATGATTAAAACGAAACACCACTAGATAGATAGATAGATAGACAGACTACTGGTGTTTCATTTTAATGGTGGAAACGTGCATTTTAAGTTACTTTTTTTACACCGAAAATTGGGGATTTTTCCTTTTTTTTTTTTTTTTTCAGAGAAAACTAGGCTCCCTGGTCATAAGGGAGCGCTGACAGCAGACCCAAAAGCCGATTAAGCCTCCCTGAGAGGCACTTGGGTTTTGCATGTGCCACATCAATGAGCTGCCTGAAAAATGATTGCACGTGCAGGGTGCATCACAAAAACGTTGACATCCTCGCACAAGCAGGACAATGATGGCAGCCCTGGCCACACTGCTTGCACCCCACTGGCCTGGCCAGGGGTGCTCCTGCCTCATGCAGGGCTGGGCCTAGATGGGAGCCAGCCCCCCCCGTCTCCAGGCAACGCAGGCTGCCGGGCGGCGGGTAGGGGTTGGGTTAGGAGCCTGGCCGCCTCGCGGACGTCACAAAGGGCCACGACGTGGGCGCTGCCACGTGCCGCGAACGCGCCCGCAGAGGGCGGCCGTTGCCGATGTCACAGCTCGGGCCCGTGTGGCAGGGGCCCCCCGAGCCGGGGGCCGCCAGCTGGTCCCGCGCGAGGCAGCCCCCTCCCCTCCCGCGTGACGTCGCCCCCGCCCCAACGTTCCGTGGGGTGGGGGAGGGGCGCGCCAGTCACCTTCCTTGCCGCTCATGGTGGCTCCGCTCCGCTCCGCAGCCCGCGCGCGCCAGGCCCCGCCCCCTCCGAGTTCTCCCCTCCCCTCAGCCCTAACGAGACGTCCACGCAAGCGCCTGAGGACAGGCCAAGAGGCGCGCGGCCCAAGCGGAACCGGCCCGGAGCCCACGGGCCGCTCAGAGAGGAGCTGCCCGGAAGGCAGGGGCTGTCTCGTCCGCCCAAGGCGGTATGCCCTGGGAAATGTCACTGTTTCTGGACAGGCATTTTGTAGGGCAGCTTAGAGAGGGGTCAAGTCAGGACCCCGCGCTTACAGGCCCCGCGGCGGCGCTTTGCATCATGGGGAATGTAGTTCTGGGAGGGGGAGGTGGCGCTGCAGTGGGCGGAGCTGGGAGTGCCTGGAGTGCGCGGCCCTGAGCTGCTCCCGCTCCCCTCGGCGGGGGCTGCCTGGCGCAGCGTCTGTCCCGTCGCTTCTGCGGTGCTTTAGCTATGGGACAAACATGCCTCCTCCCACCGTAGCAAATGCTCCACCTTCACCCACTCGTTCAAAATTAGCTTTTTCTCAGCTTATGAATTATTATAATTCATAATATGATAATGATGATTATTATTTTATTATCCTTGTGATTATCGTGATAGCTATTTTTCATTATTATTTATTATATTGTGATTATTGTGATTATGATGATGATGATTTATTATCAGTATTATTGTGATTATTATGATTATTTTATTATTGTGATTATTATGGTGATAATGATTATTACTTTATTAGTGTGATAATTGTGGTGATAATGATGGTTATTTTATTAATGTGATTATTATGATTATTGTTATCTGACTTGATTCAAAGGGAGCAACCACATTAAGAACTATAAAATGTCTGGGAAGAGAGACGCAGGCATGATACTATAGGAGTCCTGAAACAGACATGAAGTATTAGCGAAATAAAGCAGGAAGGGACCTCCCAAGGGCATCTAGTCCAGTGGTTCTGGATTTTTTTTGTACCAGGACCCATTTGTAAACATCGATGGCCAGTCCCAACCCAGTGCCTCTCACCCCCAACCCACTGCCACCAGGCCTGATCCCCACAGTGTTTGGGGCCAGTTGTAACCCCAAGCAGCCCCTCACGGACTGGAGCTCTGCCAGCCTGCAAGGGAAATGCCGTGGTTTCCCACATTTTTTCTCCTTTAAAAGACAATCCATTTTTAAAGTTTGTTGATCAATTTTTTTTTTTTTAAGTTTGTTCATGACCCTTTCGTATATTCTTGTGACCCATTTTTGGGTTATGACCCATGAAACACTTGATCTAATCCAACCCCCTGCCTGAGGCAGGATCATTCCTAGCCAAACCATCCCAAAAACAAATCCATCGTCTAACCCCCCCATGTTTCTCAGCCAGGGGGCTAGGACACCCTGGGGTGCCACCAGATCTTTTGCAGGGTGCTACCAGGTATGAGGAAATAAGCCAGGCTCAAGTGTGTCCCTGTCTGGACAATCCCCCACCCCTACTGCTCAGCCCCTGCATAAGGAGGTAAGCGCTATAATCTATACATTAGTTTTTGAAAATGGGTGCCGCTCAGTTCACAAAAGTTATGGAGGGCTGCCTCCAGTCCAGAAAGGCTGAGAACCACTGGCCTGACCTCTCAGTAAAACTACAGTCAACCATAATACAACCAGAAGACAGCACCTTTATCTGCCACAGGTAACACAGGGGGACCGTGACAGCCAACATCCTGCAACTGCAAGGGTTGTTAATATACACTTGGGAGATCCCAGGAAGAGGGCCCCCGCTCTAGAGAGGAAGGCAAAACCTCCCCACAGTCCATACTTATCTGACCATGGGGTGAAATTCCTTCTTGACCCCAACCATGGCAATCAGTTTGACCCCGAGTGAAGCCATAAGGTCCTCTAGGCAGGAACCTCCGGGTTTAAACCTGGACCTCTGCGTGATGGCCATTATTTGTCTATCTGACCTTCATCAATGCAGTATCTGAGCATCTATCAGGAATGTATCCGAACCCCATTCTACAGTTGGGAAGCCGAGGCATAGCATTAAACAAGTGGTTTGCCCAAATTCACACAGGAGACCTGTGGCTGAGCCAAGCATTGAAGCCATAGTACAATGTCCTATCTGCTATACCATCCTTCCTCCCCTCAAGTTGTTTAATGTACACAAAGTAATAAAAATGTGTACAAATGAGCTCGACAATCCCTCCTGTCCTGTTAAAGGAGGCACATCCTGCATATCTGGAATTCATATATTCTGGTAACCGGCCACCTCTCTCTGCCTCACTGGTTTCACCTATGCTTTCCCCAGGCTGCCTCATCAACTTCACAGAGGATTATACCTTGATGGCTCTGACAGAAAAGCTGGTTGGAGTTCCATTCACCCCATGGACAATTTGAGAGGATTTACTTTTCTGTCAATCTCAGGGAAGTTTCTGCTGCAGCGTTTTGATTGGGACAACACTGAGATATGGAAAAAAGCAATAAAGTCATTGTAATGCAGGAGCTGCACTAGCACAAGAGCCACTGATGACATACTGGTCTCCGTGTCTCCCCACCCTCTGCATCACCACCATCCTGACAAGAGAGACCAGTAACACCAGTCCTTCTTCATTTCACTACCTTTGGTCACCTTCATCTTGCTGTCGCTGAGTAGGTACCATTAAGGGCATCCCCATCTCTCTAAGCA